TGTATAGCATATGAGTAAGGCATTCCAGATGTACATCATTTGGTTTAATGTCTGCCAAATAGATGAAAGGATAAATGAAGAGCTTAATTTAAGAGATTTGAGTCTGAAAGTGCACGAAAATTAAAATAGCCAAGGTCCCTAGATACAATAATTAATCAAACAGGAGTGCTCCAAACACTCAGAAATTGACAACCTAATCTCGTTGGATTTCAGTAGCTAAGCAAGTCTGGGTCTTGTCTGTACTAGAATGGGAGACATCCAAGGGAAACCATATTTCCTGCCTTGTTGTGTTGGTGGACCAATAGATGGCACTCTTCCCAGCTTGGCCATAATTTCCACCTGAATACCTCCAATGAGACATTATACTGAAGTGCTGACCGCTTACTCTCAAAATGTAATTTATAGCACTCTACTGTGGGTGTCTTGTGAGCGTTATCTATACCAGAGGAAGGAAGGCTTATATAATAGCATTTTAATTTTCTTTTTCCAACACTATTATGATAATATCATAACATTTCAGAAACCTGTGTACCTTTCTGGTTTTGTTGCTATTTCACCATATACATAAGCTCTAATTGGAAAATACAAAGGCACCTGTTTGTCTTTTTGGTTCAAGTGTAATAGGGCATGCTCATTAAATGCTTAACATGGGACTGATAGAGAAAGCAACCGTGTACCTAGATATCAGGTGTGTTAATGTTGTTGGGGAGGGGTAGATTGGGTGAGAATCATAACGTACAACTAATGAATAATACCTCTGCTTTGGACTAATAGGACAAACTTGCTGTGTATTTATTTTGATTTATTGAATTTTTTCTCATACACTTGACATGTAATCTGTATTAACCATACAGCCAGGCTCATGTTTTTGGGGTTTGTGGCTTTTTACCTGCTTGTTTCCCTGTCTGTCATGTTTGAGAGAAGGACCAAGCCCAATTCTCACCTCTCAGCACCTCTCGGTCCCGGGTCTCTTGACCTTTTTTCCTGAGCATTTAACATACTAACGCCCCTCCACCAGCATTGCTTTACTGAGACAGTGAATTTAAAGGGAAGCGTATTTAAAAGTGACAGAAAGGATTGCTTTGAGGGTCTCAGGTAAACACAAAAACCCTTGTTATTTCTTCTGTGTTGAAGTGTGGTATAAAAAGAGAAAGGCCAGTTTTTTCGGTAGTCAATTTGGTGACTGTCAGCTCTGCATTATCAAAATAAAAGCCAAAGTGCTTCAGATCTGAACCAGACATCAGTGATCTTAGTTGCTTTCTGAATGTTTACTTTTTTAATCAAAGTAAATCTCTTATCTGGGCGATGGAAGATGAAGCTTTAAACAGCTTAATACTGTCACACTTGTCTGTTAGCTGAATGAGTTTGGCAAATCTTCATGTGAAACATTTTTGGTCAGATTTTGAACAGGTGGTAAATGGTGCTTTCATAAAACCAAGGATTTTGGTCTCAATTTCCTTTTCTACACAGAAAAGTGAAATGAACTCTGTGAAGCCACAAGGAAGACATTGATCTTCCGGTTAATCTGAGGAAAAGTAACGGTAGTGTTCACTAAGGTACTGAAATCTGATGTTGAAAGTGCTCCCATTTTATATTAGCATTATAGTAAGCTGTTTGTTGTGGCGTTTTTAGACTTCCATGTGATATAAGGGTGTAGTTTGTGTTCAAAAACTGGGCAGCCTATCTAATGTACATGGCCAGGTGAACAGTTAAATTTGTGTCCTCAGTAAATCACAATGGCTTACTCCCTCGTGCCTTCAAAAAAACTTTCATTTTCTTAGGAACCACAGCACCAACTGAATTGTATTGAAATGGTTAATGTAAACAGATAACCAAAGATTTGTAAACTTTGCACCTACAAATTCAGTATAGCCCCCATACAATGTTCCAGGTAACCCCTACCAATCTCATTCATTTGTGAGATGTTGGTGCCTGCCAGTCTGTACCATCAAAAATAGCATTGGTGTTTGGTCTCTGAGATAGTCGGGTGTCATGATATTTCTTTACTTATTGTACAGCTTTCTAATTATATAATCTTTCAGCTGGAGTGACTTCTGATTTTAAATCTATTCACCTTTTTATTCCACTCAATAAAACAGTGTTCACATGTAACCAGGGATGGATGCCTCATCTTCTTTTGTTTATTAGCAGCACTACAAATTGCTACTGTGTGTTAAGTGTTTAAGCAAAGTTGGTACCACCGTTGGTTGGTATCAAGTAACATTGTATTTAACATTCGTGGAAGTGGAGCTCTTGCCTAAATCCAGATGACTGACTGACCATTTAATTCACACACAACTGCAGTACTGACCTAAGCTTCACAGCAGGTTTAATCACACTAAATCCTGCTTCAGTCTTATAACTCTCATCTTACAGTGATACTTGTTATGCCTTTAGTAGATCATCTACCTGGCAAAGCATACTGTACATGTTTGGCCAATGGTCACCTTCTTCATTCTAGTTTCTCATTAGTTCACTCACATTGTTAGAAGTACTTACGTTGGTGGTGACTTGCTTAGAAGTCTAAAAGTGCTTGTAGTTTTATATTTTCTCTATAAAAAATTGTATTAAAAATTGTGATATGTTGAAATATACAGCAATTAAATTAGAATGGTAACTTTTTGGTTAATTTTAATTCCTGCTTTGTGTTTTACAGCACTGAAATGTGTTCTGTGCTCGTACCATGTTATACAACTTTGCATTCATGCATTTTGTTTCACTGTAGTTATTTTCAGAAAGTCAAGAGAAAACTTAAAACTATAGGCATTTATTACACGTGTAGAATTAAGCTTAACTATACAGATACTGCAGGTATACCAAGCTGCTTGATTAATAACTAATTAGATCATTACCCATAAACAGTATTGGAGGCTTAAGTATTATCATATGGGGGATATGAGAGTAGTCCAGCAAGATAACATTAATTTTCTGTGACAAAGTCTATGCACTTCTAGCTGGTTACTTAATTAATCACAGGGAACACTGATTGCTGTAAATTATTTTGCTAAACAGTGTTCTGGATAGGTGCAGTGATGGAAATAAGCTTTGTGTGATGCAAAATTAGGTCTGTGTTCTTTTATTGTGGACAGCAGAAAAGCAAGTACCTTATAAAGTATTAAAAGCTTTCATGAGGCTGCGTCATTTAAATAATGAGTATAATTATCTTCAGAGCTGTGAAACATCTGTAGAAAAAAAGCAGCCTTTTATACAAACTTAATTTATATTAAATTGATGCTGTTTGATAAGGATAGCTGTCCTTGAAAGCAAGGCTTCCTTTTTGATAGTTTCAAAAATCTTTTCAGTTTAGAAATTTGTCAATATCTTATTAAATCTGTTATCTCAAAATAACAGGGAAACAAGCACCCTCAGTGTATCCTAATGTACATCTAGCTGAATTTGGTATTCATGCTTCAGAATATTTTAGAATTGCAGATCATATGAGAGATATCTTTTGGTAAGCTTTATCAACTTAAATAGAGGATATTAAATGTTAGTGTTATATTAAGCCATATTGTAGGAGTGTGTTGTAGAGGGTCTTGAGTTAAGGAAGAAGAACTGTTTTTTTTAGTTTTCTTTTTATGACTGTAAAAGAAGCCTTTTACATTAGAGACATACTTCTGTATGCCTTCCTAGTCCTTTTTTGTTTGTACAGTAATCATGACTGCTTCTATATGTAAAAGAAATAAGTACAGCATATTTGGGTTGTTAAGGCATTATAGTCCTGCATTGTGATAGGATCAATATCATTTCACTGGGTTAACTCCTCTGACAGTTAGATGCCAGCATTTAGAAAGTTATAAGTTCAGTGAGGGATTACCTTGCAGTAGAAACATTAATCTTCAACATGAAACAGTTTGTTTAACCCTGGAAAATTAAAATAGATTTTTTGATGTATTAACTGCAAGTATCTTAATGTTCGGTGAATATGTGTGTACTGTAATCAGAACTTCAGAGGATCTAGTCAATGTTAATGTATTCTTGCCTGCAGTAAAAATCATTCTAAATGTCAGCTTCATTTTTGGGACTTCATGAATAATAGACTTTTTAACCTCTAGGCTAGCATCCTTGGATGTTATATCAGAGAGAGAATCTATTAACTTATTTATTATTAACAGAAATGTTATATTTTGTAACGCTAGAAATGAATAAGGATGCTATTTGCTTTGTGAGAAGATGTATGCGATATAATTAAATAAAAGCCAGCTGTAAGCTTCTGATTTTGCTGGAATTTTAGGTGGTCATGAATGTGTTTACCCCAGCTAAAATGGAGCACGAGATCTGTATGTGTGCTTAGTAAAGTGTTTGCTGGCAGTCAAATAAATTGATTCTGTGATTGCATTGGACAACATTTTTACTTGTTTTTCCCCATTTTTAGTCTGTAAGTCTGTTTAACACTAGATAAGTTACAGTCATCCCAGAATTTCTAGTATTTATGTTTTTATTCGGGGACCTGTAAAAAAAAAAAACTATGATGAAATTCTGAACACTCACTTGGAAAAATAGTTTTTTTTGCATTGTCACACCCAGCAAAAATGCAATTTGGAATGCAATTTAATGTTCTGTTCCAGTCAGATTAGTTCTTGTAGTTTATGGCTATGGCACATGAAAGGGGTGTATTTTGGAATTTATACTTCATTCCCAGTGGGAAATAGAAGTATGTTATTTTCTTATCTCTTTCTTTTTATTTAGCATGACATGAAAATGGCATACTAATCAGAATGTAGACTTCCTTTCATTGTTTTACTGTGTCATAAACCCATTAGGTTGTTGGAGATATAATTGAGTTGAAAACAATTTGCCCGAGAAGCTTTTTTCTTGAAGGCCTGTGCATATGATCTTTTTGTATTTTTTGTTATAATGCATCATGTACTGAAGATTCATTTTCATATACAGAAACCTACCAAGAATGTTAATGAAACAATAATATGGAGTTCCAGAATTGTTGCCTCTGTTAATCTTGATAAAATCCTCTCTAATATTATGCTTTTAAATCTTTATAGCTGGCGTCTGGCATCTACAGTTTTGCTTGCTCTCTGTGGAATCATCACACTGATACCTTCCTACAGCAGATTTGTGCAAGAGATGAAACTGCTGCCATCAGTTCCTTGGAAAGAACTTTGCTATCATTAAAAGGTACTGACTGCTTTTGATCCAGTTGCCACCAGGGCGGTGAAGGAAAATGAATGTCAGAAGTAACCCACTGTTCAGGTCTGTGTTGTTTGCTGGAGTACATGTAATTCTGAAACAGCCAACTGCAAAAATCTTCGAACAGAGACGATGTGGTGATATTTGTTTTTTTGTTTAAAATATAATATGAGGGGGGTAAGGTATGTAAGTTAATAATATAATATTTCCTAAGGTCATGTGTGTCATTTCTTGACATAGAGGGAGGTCATTGAATTAATGATAAGAAAACATGAAACCATTTATCTGCAAAGACAAATTATTCCTGACGAGAGAATATCCCGTTCGACTGGTGTTTTTTCCATGCTGTATTCCTGCGTGCTTTGGGTTTCTGAAACCCTACTGGGATTCAGTGCATTCTTAGGACCGGGGTGGGTATATTCATAAGGAACAGATTGGTAGTGCTTGGATAGTGAATATATGTCATAAAAGCACACTGAACACTTTTCTTCTTTTGTAGTTCTAAGGAAACTTACAGTACATGGATTTGTTGAGCCCCATCAGAATATGGAGGTCATGGTAAGTGAAGAAAGTAAAAAAAATAATCGTATTAAGTAAAACAAATTAGGTGGTTACATGCATTTTAATTACATTTACATATGCACTTTACCATGTACATTTAATTATACTTTCTTAGTGTGTGAGGACAAACTTTGGACAAAGGCAGCAGTACTTTAAGTGAAAATGTTGAAGCAATGGGAATGTGCCTTTTTGTTTTTCTTCGATTCTTTTCAACTTGTCTGTAGTCCTTTGTAAGAATTTTATATATACATATTTTGTCAATTAAATTGTTACAAATGGGGGGGTTACAACAATGAAAATCAGGAATTGACCAAGTGGCTTAGTCAATAAGTGAAATAATTGTTCATATCCCCCAACTGGTAAGTGCTTTTTCCAGAATATACCCGAGCGGCTGGTATAATTAGAGGCACGTGAATTCTTTGATCTCTGGCACAACTTTGTTGAGAGGAGTAATAATCCAGGTACACTTGGTTAAACAAAATATTTAGTACAATGATAAGACACCGACTACACTACACACATCAAATCATACAACAAACAAGTTACTCTATGTGCAGTATTTACAAACAAGGCATTTTAGAGGCCTTACATTCTGGTCACCCATAAAACCCAGATTGCTACTAACCATTGAACTCTTATGTGGGCTCTGTAGCCACTAAGAGATGAGCTGCATTCTAACTAAATGCAATACAGCCTGCAGATAAATCTCTCTCTCTGCACCCCGGATGCCACAAAATAAGTGGGAGCCTATCTTCCTATCCATAAAAATGCACCCTAATCAGGAAAGATTTTTCTAACTGAGGTATCTTTTACCCAGCAAACCCAAGTTCCCTAAAAACACAGCATGCTCTCTCTAGCAAGGTTCAGATGCTTAGCTCCAGTCATATTTTGTTTGGGTGATCGTGAAGTAGGGGCTCTCGGCTGGTGCCAGCTTCACCAGTCCAACTCATGTGGACTCCTCTCTCTTTCTCTTTCCTCCTGTCTCCTCTTCTGTTCTTAATATGATCTTATATGTTGTATTTCTGTACTGCTCATTGACAATCATTAACCCGCAGCTTACCTAGATATACTAAGGTCAGCTTTAATTTGTTTTTGCCTTTTTTAAGTCCAAAAGGTGGAAAACCTAATGACATTTTGAAGGTTTGGTATGAGCAGCTGTTTTGTTACCTCATTGAACTAAATGTTTATAGAATTTAGAACTTGTATGCAGCTGGACATCTTGGAATAATGGTCATCGTATACAAAATTATTTAGAATTAAATGAATTAAATCACAAATTGGATTCACCACTCACATACAGCTGGTCATAGACACACGCCTTGAAATCTAAACAGTTCTAGACTTAAAGCAAATGTCCACATTCTCAAGGCTTAAGTGTGAACTTTGTCTTGCAACATATCTTTAAGACGGCTGTTTTAAATGTTTTTTTTTTAAATACTACCTAATGCTGTCCATTCAATGGGGAAAACATTTCTAACCTTATTTTAAACTTCTTTAATTCTGTGTATGTAACTGGAGAAAATTTTTATTTAGTAAGAGCAATAGTATTAAATGTCTCTATTTTGCTTTGACATTTTGCAATAAATGAACCTCATTATGAAAAAAGGAAATGTTCTGGCAGATGTGCTGATTTTCTGTTGACACCATGTTGTCATTAGCAGTACACAGAACGTAAATTGAAGTAGTTGACTTTTCATTTTCAGATGAGTGCTAATAATACGCTTTAATGTCTTCATGAGGTCTTTTTATTTAGCCTTTTTTTCTTTAAATACTCTTGTGCTGTTTTTGCTGCATGAATGCATTTAGATGATAAGTCCTTCACATTTATATGGATACGATTCCCTTTTCCCAGAAGGGCAGCCAACTGGGAATTCATGAAGCTCTACACTTATCCTTAATTCTAAGCTTTTCTGATTATACCAGTTCCATATTTACGGACAGCCCAAAGTTTCATGAATTTTAATGTATTTTCTGAATTGCGTTGTGCTACAGAAATTTCCATCAAAGAAAAGGTTAAGTATTAAATAAAGCAGTTCTGAGTGTAACATCTCGCATTTAATTATACATGAAAATCCTGTTGCACTTGGCACAAACACGAACATATTCATATTTCCTTTCTAATATGTGGTCTGAAGTTTGATTTAACATTTTGGAAAGCTTAAAATGGTAAGACTGCAGCATAAAACTCAGTGTTAAATTATTTTTGTCATTACCAGCAAATGTAGTTGTGGTGGAATACCCTGATATTTGTTTGAATCTTGGACGGTATTAAAGTTTTGCCATCTTAAACCATGATTTACTTTCATTCTTGCATATAGATGATTATTTTATTTGTCTTATTTTGATCTGGAGGCTATGTGAAAATATTTTATCATAGTAAAAATATAACCATATAATGTTGCTTTCATAAAGAATGATACACAGTGTGTCACAGTCATGCCGGAGGATTCGGTTAACAAAGATAGTCAGAATGAATAGATCCCCTGAAGACAGACGCAGTAACTGCAATAAGAAACATGCTGGCCTGTTGCCGTATGAATATGGTTGGTTATGACATGCTCAGGAGTCAGGGGTGAAGGCAAGTGTTAGATTGCCTTTCTTTCACACATCATGTGATTGTGATTTGTGTCTCAAAATTTCACATATTTCATGCAATCAGCCACAGCACATCATTTCAATCACCTGCGATACTTCTGGATTTCACAGCACATGTCCAGCTTCACAGTTCCTGTGTCAAAGGTCATGGCTGTGACATTATTACAGTCTAGCCTAGTCGTGAAGAGTTCCCAGTATATTTACATCTTAAGCCTTATGGCTGTCATAGACATTGATCTGATAACTTGTGTGTTTATTATTTATGTTTGTTTTAGTATGACAGCCAACATACAGTACTTATATTGGAGGAAGATGCATGATGGGCCCAATGCTTATTTCTGTTTACATCCTTAGAAACATTCAGTGAATTTCTCCTTTAGTAAAATTTTGATATAAACGGATGGTGAGTCAATATAAAGCTCAATTCTCATTCCTCAGGTACAGGACTTTACATAATGTTTTTCCACCCAGTGATTTGAGTCATTTAAATTACTTTTATGGATTTATTTAATGCTTTAGTATTGAGTATATTAATCTTGGTCCCTTCACAATATGACTGCTTTTTGCTGTACATTGATTTTATCAGTTATGTTAAAAATGTCTGTATCTAATTCACTAAATTGTAGTGATTTAATTTAGTTGTAGAACCTCAATATACATTACTGTTTACAAGGACTATATACTTTATTGTAGGACAGATTTATCTGTTTAACCTTATGTTTAGAGCTGCGAGTCTAAGGAAGGCATACATTCATTATGGCATAAATATGCATCAGCATCAACCAACATTAGTTTAAAAAAGCATTTATATTCAGTTTCTCAAAAACACTGTATTATGAAGTTTGCTATTTGTCCAGTTTACAAAGAAAGTCATACAGTAGATGAAATGCAGGATGATATTGGTAGCAGCTAAGTGCCTCAGGCTACTACACACGCACAAAGTATTTAGACCTTGTGTTAAGCTGGTTGAGGCTATTTATATATGTTTAATACTTGTCTGAAACTGAAAGGTGTACAAAAGGAAATGTAAAATCTAAAACTTTAGCACACTGAGGGCTTTTTTCTGTAGTGGACCACAAAATGTAATCTTTATGTAGTACTGAGCCTTGCCTGACAGAGTTTGTCATTTCCCTCAAAATCTTCATTATAAATAATCTTCCTAACAGTAATGTAAACTGACTCATTTGTAACTAAAGGTGACTATGCAAGTTACACATTTTTAAGTCTGGTCATTTACCTAGAGGATATAAACAAAAACTTACAAGTGAAGAGACCTTTTGACTTATCATTGTATTGGTTACTTGAGGCTTTACAAAAGGCCCTGGTATAATATATCAGGTTTGTGTTAATGTGTGAATCATCCAAGACAACTCAGCTTTGAGAATGCACTAGGACATCTCACAAACCACCCTAATGGGCGTAGCGGTGGCTCTGTGGCTAAGTATCTGCGCCTGTGGCTGAAAAGTTGCTGGTTCAAATCCCGCAGCTGGCAGAGGAATCCTACTCCTTTGGGCTCCTGAGCAAGGCCATTAACCCCAACTGCTCCAGGGGCGCTGTACAATGGCAGACCCTGCGCTCTAACCCCAGGCTCTCTCCCTATCTGTGTGTCTCATGGAGAGCAAGCTGGGGTATGCGAAAAGATCATTTCCAATGCAAGAAATTGTAAAGGGTTAATAAAGTAAATAAAGTAAGTAAGTAATAGTTAGAAAACAACCGGAATTCTCTCAGAAGAGTGCTAACCTTTTCAGCAGCAGAGTACAATACTATAATAACTTTTAGACAATGATGGTCTTGTCTTCCTCAGCCTGGAAACGTGTAGCACCTGGAGTCGACCTGTTCCACATTTATAGGTGATACTCAATGACAGCTCGGGACGCTGTCATTGAGTTTGAACACAGAGCGCCTCGAGTTTTGATGCCTTGTTTCGCTTTGTTGGTACTCTGACCCCTGCATGCTTGTTACGGCCTCGTCTTCTGGATTACCCCCTGGCTTTGTTTACCATCTCTCTTGGCTTTGACACTGGCTCATTAAAAATGAATTCGTTTTCATTTCTTTAGATCAAACTGCTGTCCATAGTGACATTTTGTGATAAAAGTACTTCTTTCAGTGACACGTTTTCTCCTGCTAAATGTATTTTCTCCCACTGCACAACAAAGAACAGAAATCAGCTGGCAGATAGAGAACAATAATAACATGCTGTTTGACTTTCTGAAAACTGCAGAAAAGCCTACAGGTAGTTCTGACAAGAAGGGAAGAGACAACAGCACTAGGTTCTTTCAGGCTGCATAAGACAAAACTGAGCCATTTTTCATTGCTATTTACTTCATAAACATGGATTTTATGTAGTCTGTAGGTTACTTCTGTCTATATTTGTAATATAAATGAGTTTAGCATCTGTTTTA